TTAGCTAGGTTGCTTCAGTGGACACTAAATAATTGTACTTTAACATCTCTAACATCTGTGAATGAATGGAGCGTGTGAGCTACTAGCTTTCACTTTAGGATGAATAAGGTGTGGAGCTCAATGTTAAGCTGGCAAGGGTGGGGGACCCAGAATGGGAAGCACCTACTCCATTATCTGAGTTCCCTCAGGCAGTTCACTGGATTTCTTCTTGATGTTTACCTGGGACTTATGCTTGGCAGCCTTCGCTGTGTGTAAGGGGGCAAAGAGAAGGAGGGAATGATAAAAGTGATGAAGAGTGTGTTGCAATTGTTCCCTCAACAGACTTTGAATGAATCTGCCAATCGGAAGCTCTCCTCCTCACCTCCAGCTCCATGGACTCTGATGACTGAGCCTGAGGTTGCACTGAGGCGGTGAACTTCTCCTCCAGAACCAGACCCTTTTGTTTACTTGGCAAGTTCTTATGTCTAAAAGCAGGCTACTTTCCTCTTTGCATCTTCTAAAAACATCTCATCTGCTCATCGTTCACTTCTTTTTCTCTTCACTTTTATGGTGTCTCATGGGGTAAGAAAACAAATGTTCAGGAAGCAATTTGAAGAGAAAGCCTTTTTAAGTTGTAATTGTTCTAAGGTAATAATTTATTTAAATGACTGTAGCCAATTTTGTGTAGATTAACACACAAATAAATAAATGACAGCCAAATTTTTAAATCTCAAACCTGCAGGAAATAGGTTACAGGAAATAGGACTATCAAAAAGATATACTATGCACTCTCTCAAGAAACAGAAAGAAATCAATTAATTTCTGAGCAGAATTCAAAGTTCTGTGTGAATAGTACATCTTGTTCTTCTGGAGCCCCAAAAGGATACTCCCAATACTGTGAGTTCAACGACTGAAGAATAATACAAAGCATCACATGAACAAGTTACCCTTGCAATGCGATTATTGCAAGGGTTCTCAACTCTTGTTCCTTGCTCCCCAGTATCTAAATTGTCAGATACCCAAACTGAATAGTCAATAGTTCACATAGCCCACAACATACACCTTGGTCCCCTGAAACTGTCTCTGTCTTTAAGAGCTGAATTCACACCTGTTATTAAGGGTCCTAAGTCTCACTTTCAACCATGCATTTTTCGATACCCTTGCAGGTATTATTTCTTACCAGTAATCTAGATCACATGCTCCTAAGAGGGCTGCTAAGCACTTCCTAAGAATAACAGTTATAAATAGACCAGATAGCCCTGGCTTTACTGGTGGACCTAAGAAGCCACTCACTGACTTCTCTTTCAAAGTTCAAAGGCATGTAATTTGTATTGTATTTTATCAGTTTACACAAAATCAGCAAGAAGAAGAGGATCAAAAATGAAGGATGTCTTGTAATCCAGCACCAGACTCTTCTTCCAACTTGTTTTATTTGGGGGTTTATACTTTAATTTCCTTGTAATTTTAACCAAACTGACTCCCCTGCTCAAGAAGCAATGCTTCTATGTTTCCCTTCATAACCAGGAGCATTTCTTTCTCTCCTCCACATTGGCACCATCTTGTCTCTTCTTTATTCTTAGGCCTAATTATTCAATTCCTTGGGTGCACAAATCTTCCCTAGACTTTCTCCCAATGAATTATGTTACACATTTCACTTAAAATTCAAGTGCTATCTTATAAGCAAGATTAAGTTCATTGTTTTTCTTTTGTATTGAAAGGTTCATACTAGTTACTACTTATAAGCTAAGAGACAAGAGATGCTCAATTTTTTCCAGTTGGCAAAAGCAATATGAACAGTATTCACATTGAAAACATATGGTAACTGACCTCAATTTCTAGATAAGCCCATTAGATAGAGCTCACTATTAATCTCTGTGTGGGTGTTTATGTGTGAGTTGGATTACATTATACGTAAAAGATTATATTCAATATAAATGTCGGTTTATCTTTCAGATGCCATTTGATCAGCTTATCTTTTTGTTGAATAGTTATAGCCAAATTATAACTATGTATCTTGAAGACACGTCCCTTTGAGGCATTTATTTGTTTTTATTGTTAACACTATTACAGATGTCCCCCACACCCCCTTAAATTCTATTTCATTGTGTACTTATTCTTTATTGCTCTATTTCTCTCAAAACTATGTCCACTGCATGACAGCATAAAGAATATTATTTTATTTAAACCTCAGTTTGTCTATCAAAAGTTCCAAATACATATTTGCTAATAAATATAAAAACTACCTCAGCATATTATAAGAATAGTATGTGTACATATAAAGTAGCTACCTTATGACAGTACTATAATCTGAATGCTTGTTTTCCACCAACAATTCATAGGTTGAAATCCTAACCCCTCAAGACGATGGTATTAGAGTTGCGGACTTTGGTAGGTGCTTGGATTTTGAAGATGGAGCCTTCATAAATGAGATTAGTGCTCTTAGAAAAGAGACCTCATAGAGCTCCATAGCCTCTTCCAGCATGTGAGGAAATATGAAGATGCCAACTATGAACCCGGAAGAGGGTCTTCAAAAAATTTGACCATGCTGGCACCCTGATGTTAGACTTCCCAGCCCGCAGTGAAAAATAAATTTCAGTTTTTAATAGGCTACCCAATCTGTGGCATTTTGTTATAGTAACCTGAACAGACTGAGAGAGTAAGACATTGTGTTAAATATTTAATTTATATATGTAACTGATAAATTATACAAGAAAATGCATGGGATATAGTAAACATGCAATTTTAATTTCTGTCTCCCACTGCTCTTTATGTTTTATTCCTTGGGAATACTCTTCCCGTGAGCCTCAAACTCAACATAGCATCTCTCCTAAGAAAACCCTTCCCAAATCATTCTTTCCCTTCTCACCCCTCTGGAGCCTAAATGTTTTTTTGTTTTTGTCTTTAATATTTTATTTGTATATTATGTATATGAATGACTATCCCACTCATTGTGGTATTAGATATCTATGGTATAGGAGCCATAGGCAAAATCAATAGAGGAAGAATACTATAGCATTGTATTTTATATGCATCATCTCATTCAAACCACTCACAGGTTTATGAAATTTATGGAGGTTAAGTAAATTGTGTCAAGTCAGGATGCTAGAGATTATCATCTTGGGCAAAAGTCATTAATGGATATTATAGATTGATTAAAAAGTATGTTCTTTTTAGCTAGTGTTTCATTTTGTAAATGTTTATTTGGAATTGGTTAAAATATTTGACTAGGACGTCTACTTTAGAGTAAATTCAAGACATCTATTAAGGAAATTAATTATAAGTTAAGAGAAAACAGAGCAGCCCATCACTCAGTGATCCATGTGATGCCCCCGTGTTCCCAGATGGAGATTTAACCCCAACTTCCAAGGTGTATATATCCCAAGTGGTCACCAAAGTTCCCAGAATAACTCCCAACAAGGGGAGGAGATGGTGTGCAGAGGCAGTAAGTTCCTCACAATACACCAGCTCCATCCCTCCAATTACCCATGCCACTACTCATGTTTTCTTCCATAATATGTTGTTACTGTAAACAACTTTGAGATTCATGTCTGTCTGATTTCATATTCATTATGATTCATAACACAAATTCAGTAACAGCTAATATACAGTCCTTTTTTTTAAGAAACAGGAAAACCTGCATGTAGTTTAGAAATAGAGAAGATAAAGAAGCAAAATGATATTTTTATAAAATTTATAATAATTAGTACACAATTTAGCAATTATAAAGAAAGCCAAAAACTATGTAAATAGTCATCCCAAAATATAAATTAAGAAACATACAAGGACCCCAACGCTACAACAAGAATGATGACCCCCATCATTGAATTCAGGATTGTGGCCAGTATTAATCTTGAGTGAATACTGAAAAGAAACACATAACTTTAATAATAAATTGAAACATTTTCTAAACCAGTGTTATCTAATGGAATCTTCTCTGATGACTGCTCTTGAGCTCTTGCAATGTGGCTAGTGCAAGTGGGGAACTGAATTATTTTAAGTTTATTTAATTTTAATTAATATAAATTTAAATAGCTACATGCAGCTATGATATTGTAGAGTGAAGCTGAGACAGAAAAAAGGCAGCCTCACACTCAATGTTCCAAAACTTTTTGCAATGTAATATATAAAATAAACTTCACATTCCAAAGTTACTGTATATCAAAAGCACAATATATAACACTCATGATATAATCTTTGTGAAGAAATTTCTTAACAATTTGTGAGAAAGGCATTTGGAACTAGAAAAATGCAACCTCTGTGAGTGGAATATTACACCACTTAAGTTTGTTTTTGTTTTTTTTTAAGTTACACTTCCCTCCATCAGGCATAGTTTTGGTTTTCTAGAAAAGAGGCCATTTTTCCCAAATAAATCTACCCCAACATAATAACTTAAAAACCTAAGACATTACTAAATTTCCCAGAGTGACAGCCACCAAAATCATTAAGAGCTCTTGTAACCCAAATTTGGAGCTTGTGGTTGTTTTAAAATCCCACCAAAAACAAACAAGCAACAATAACAACAAAAACCTAAAACCTTCTGTTCATTGGGATAGAAGCTGTGGGCTTTCCCAGCCATACTTTCATCCCTTCCACTCTGAGATATTTTCCTCCACTTTAGAGATAAAATTGACATCTAGCTCTGTATAAGTTTAAGGTATACCATACAATGGCTTGACATACCTATACTGAGAAATGAGTACCACTATAAGTTTAGTTAACATCCATCTCATCTAATTTCAAAAACCAATGTTTTCCCGTGATGTGAAATTTTAGGATATACTGTCTTAGCAACTTCCTAACATACCCTACAGCAGTGATAACTGTAGTCATCGCATTGTCCATTACAAGCCACACTTCTAAACCTGGCAGACGTACACCCCAAGCTCAGCAGACGCACACCTCCAAGGCCCGCACACACGCACGCCTCACCCCTCGGAGCCCCGCACCTCGCAGCGCCCGCCTCCCGCGCAGGCGCACCTCTGACCCCGCACACAGGCGCACGGCCGGCCCCGCCCCCTCACCTTTCTCGCTGACGCTCTCGCTCTCCAGCTCCACGTCCTCGCAGCTGGTGTACTCCGGCGTGGACACGCCCTCCTCCTCCGAGCTGCTCACCGACATCTGCCGCTTCTTGCCGCCCCGCTTGGCCCGGTGCGGCTTGGGCGGGGACGGCCGCACCGACTCGGACTGGTCAGAGCTCAGCGAGTCGTTCCGCAGCATGGTCTCCACCTTCTCGCGCTTGGCCTTCCGGATGAGGACGGCCGAGCTGGGATCCAGGCGGCTCTGCTTCCTGAGGGGCTCCTGGGCTTTGGGCTCCGGGGCTTGTGCGGGGACCGGCCCATGCCTGGGCGCCGGCGGGCTGTGGTTCGTTAGCTGCTTGGCGCCCGGCGCCCTGGCTTCCGCAGTCCGCTCGGCCGCGTAGGTCCGCGGGGAGTCGGGCGGCAGGGCCCTGGCGGCGGCCGGCGCGCGCTTGCCCGCCTTGCTCTCGGGCGGCGCGGCGCCCGCCTCGGTGTGCGGGAGCGCCACGTCGCTGTGGCGCCGCTCGTGCCTCGCGCGGGACACCCGGGCGTGCATGCGCATCTGCTGCTCCTCCGGCGGCGGTTTCACCGGGTACCGCGCCAGGTTCGGGTCGCTGCGGTACCTGGTCTGGTACTCCTCACTCCTTTGCTTCTCCTCGTCCGCCGCTTTGCCCTCCTCCCGTTTCTCCGGCGCGTCGGGGTAGTCCTGGGACCGCCCTTTCTCCAGCCTTCGGCTTTCCCGCCTTTCTTTCCGCTCCCGCTCATCGGCGCCCCCCTCGCCGGGTTGCACTGAGGACTTGGGCACGCGCTTGCGCTCGCTTTTCTGGGCTCCCTTGCCATTCTGCTCAGAAAGCCCTGGAGTCTTCTTCCTATGATATACAAAGGAACGTCAAGAAGGAGAACAGTGTGTGAAGACTAAAGTGAAGACCAGACCTTCCTATTAGATTTAAGTCCTTTCCATAATTAACTATAATTCGATGTCTAATTAAAAAGTGACGTGATAAGGAACCATTTTATCCCTGTATATCTGATTAGCTTTCTAATAAGGCTCCTTCCCATTCCAGTATGTTCAAGGACTTTAGAAATTGTTTGCACGTTTATTTTTATTTTTTTAAACATTTTTCTTTATTGATCTTATTTTTAAACTTTTTTTTTTCTTTATTGATTTTTAGAGAGAGAGGAAGGGAGAGAAAGAGATAGAAACATCAATGAGAGAGAACATCAATTGGCCACCTCCTGCATGCCCCGGACTAGGGGATCAGGCCCACAACCTGGACATGTGCCCTGACCAGGAATCAAACCAGAGACCTCTTAGTGCAAGGGTGGTCCATGCTTAACCACTGAGCCACACCAGCGGGCTGTTTGCACATTTGAAAGTCTATATTAACTAGATCAATAAAAACATCAATAAATTAAATGAACAAGTTTTATGCTAACCACTGCTTGTGAATAAAAGGCTAAAAATATTTTAGATGAAACTAATGTAGGTAATATAGGAGCAAAAGAATATAAACATCAAAAGTAAATGTATACTTGATATATATTTGGACAATAGATATTAACAACTTTTATTGTAACTGAAACTTTTAAAGAAATTAATCATTATCAATGATAGTTTTCATAAGAGCATGATGATTGTACTGCAGACATTAGTAGCTCATTAAGGCACAGTTGATCTGGTTAGAAGTTTATAATGTGTAATTTACTTTTCCTGAAATGTTGATAAATTAATACTTACCTTGCAGAATTCATATGAGGATTAAAGGAGACACCATCTGTGAAAATGCTTTATGAAAGGATAGAGTATTATGAAAATGGAAGGAGTTCTCCAGGCTCTCTGATTCTTTGCTTTACTAATTGTTTTTCTCACCTTTAATTGTTCCATTTCCACTAGCTCCTGATGAGTGTATGAAATATGATCAAGAATGCTTCAATAATTGAAAACAAACAGACTGCCATTCTTTCAGTCTTGCTTCTCTCCTTCAAGTTGTCACCTATCTCCCTTTTCCTTCTCCTGCACTCTCAATGTCCTTGCGGTTTTTTAAGTGTTTATATAATCAGCAAGTTATTTGTATAATCAAAAGGGCATTTGACCCTACCATCACCTTCAAATTTCATCCTAAAGATCAAAACTAAAAGTCTCTTCTCAGTTCTCATTTTTAATTTTTTTTATTTTTTTTTACCACATGTCATAAACAGGACTCATATTTTCTCTTTAGAAAGTTTATAACACCAAATTATCTATTTAAAGATACCATTTTCTAACCAATCCCAAATTGCGCCTTTGATATATTTTTCTTTCCCTACACATCAGTTTGTCACCCAAAGCTATTAATTGTCTATTAATTATGAGTTACCTCTGGTGCCCTGTCTTCTCTGCGCATAGTTTGTACACTCATTTTCTCTTCCTGTAATGCTTCTTCCTACACTGTCTACCTACCTTACAACTCCTGGATATCTTACAAAGCTTAATTCTCAGAATGCACTTTTTCTTTCCTGTGGTTCCCAAAATGCTATATGTATTTTCTAGTTTTGATCAAATAAGCTTTCTGGTACAATTACCCAGGTGCCTATCTTCCTTAGGATATTGTGTGGTTTCTCCCCCTAGGATCTGGCATCTGTCCTAATCATCTTTATACCCTCTGGTGCCTGATATAGTGTTTGCTTATAGTAAATATACAATGGCTATTGGCTTGATTAATAGCTACATTTATTGAATGTTTCCCATGTGCCAGCTTCTGAACACATGTTCTCATTTAATCCCTGTCACCCCTTGAGGTGAATTGTTGTTACTGTGGAAGAACTAGAACTGGAATCCAGACCTGTTTAATTTTTAAAGTCCTTGATTTTATTTATGGGCTTTGTTTAAAAAGGGGAGCAAAAAGCCTTCCTTGGAGCCAAAAGGAGCCAAATCTACCCTTAACAATAGTCCCTCAAACTACCAAGCGTGTGAAGAAAAGAGCTATTGTGCTCCTGTTAACATTGTCTCTCATTGCAAAGCATCCTGTCTGGTCCTAAATGCATTGAATGAATAAATGAAACCACTGAAATAAATTATCTGATCATGTTTGCCCATGCTTAAAATCCTCAGTGGCCTTCCATCATTCCTAGGATTAAATCTATAAAATTTAACCTGGCCAGAAGGCGCTGTGTGACCTGGGACCTGATAACCTCATCACCACCTCTCCTCAAAACCCAAGCCCTCTGCTACTCACACTCTAGCCAGTGGGCATCCTTTAGGTTTTCTCATTGGCCTTGTTCTTTCAGGCCACATGTCCTTGCACATACCTGGAACACTTCACCTGGTAAATTCTTACTCACTTTTCAGAGCTCAGTATAAAAGAACAGTTCTCAAAGAAGGCTTTGGTAATGTACCCACACACCCTCCACTGGGTCAGGTGCCCCCATCATTCTCTCAGAGAAACTTTCAATTGAAAGTCTAATTCTATAAATCAATCAATAATCTAGAAGCTTTGCCAAATTCAAGGCTGGAAGTTAGAAGCCCAGTTGGGTGACTTGTTTGTTTACATCTGTGTATAATATGACAGAAAAGCTTCTCAACTAAGGTCTCCAAAGGTATAATACATTCTAGAGATAAAGCAACTCATGCCTGTTGCTACCTCCCATGTGGGGCCTGAGAAGCACCGCTTCCACACATTTTTCTTAATAACTGTTAGATTCTTGAAAATGGGTTTGTTGTCAATACAAGACCTTGCCTTTTGCTTATGGGGTTAATGAACTATTACCTCTCTCTTGGAAGTTCACTTCTAGACCTGGATGCAGCCTGCTTCTGCTCTGGCCCCATGGCTTGCTGGGAGGGCTCAGCCCCTCTGCTCCTGTCTGGGTGTGCACCTGGAGGAGCCGTGCCCTGGGAGGAGGCAGCTGCTGTGCTCAGGGGAGTCTGATACGGGGATCACGCTTGGAGCTGTGCTTTCTTTTCTCTGGGTACCTCAGAACCAGCACCTGCAGCTGTATCACTTAGGGTTCCATCCTGACTGGGCTGCTGAGGGCCACTTCCAAAGAACCAGGCCCCAGATTTGGTTAAGATTTCTTGTTGCTTTTGACATAAATTGCACACCCACATAACCTATTTGAAGGAGAGAGAACAATATAAATTTCTTATATCATTTGGAAAGAACTTATTTTTATCAAACTAAAATATCATTTAAAGAAAACATGGTTGTCATCTGCATATTTATCCTTGTAAATTTCCTGTGAAAAAATCCTGCACAAGTTCAGTCAAGTATATGAAATTATAGTGCCTCAGGATAATCTTTTCTGTGCCATTTTAATCCTAGGATTCTGAGTTTCCTTTTACCATATGTCCATCACATTCTGTATGACTAACCCTGAAGTTTCATTTTAAATATCTCTTACTAACATGTTCTAAGAGGGCTAGTTGATTGATTAGAAAAATATTACAGGGAGCTATAGAATTAATATTTATGTACATAAACTTCAGTGTCTCCAAGGACTTAGAAGGTATCTGTTTTTTCAAAAATCATCCATTATTAAAGCTGATATAAAAATATATTCTTGTGGACAAGTAAGCAATAAAATGTAGACACAAAGACTGGTCAAGCTATATCTTTTCTCTAGTTTATTAGTAGTAAACTAACCTCAAATTTAGTTTATGCTATTAAATATAAGTTTCCACACACAGTTACGAAATCAATAAATCTGAGGCTGTGTTTATTCATATGTGATAAATCTGATATAGTTTCCACTAGGAGAGCTATTTTGGAAGAGTAATTTAGAAATATATTCACTGATAAATTATATGTATGGCCACTTAAAATAAATCTATATATTAGCTCTCTTCCTGGAGACATTAAAAATGAATGAAATAATGAGGACATTGATGATGGTAGAAATAATGAGTAATAATGACAGTGACACCGAGCAGACACAGAGCTATCACAGGCACCTGCAGCCCCATGAGCTCTCTTCCAGTATCCCAAGGAACCTCTGCTTCTTTGTGGTGAGTTCATCTTGCCGCCTCAACTGATTTCCTTTGAATGCACTTTTATTTTCCTTTGTACTTCAGAAAAAAACACCCCCCAGGAAAAACTGATTACCAAATTCTAGGTTCTCATTTTCACAAATACAATTCAGTCAACAATTACTCAAAATTATCACATAAGGATGAAAAAATCCTAGATACATTACATGAGAAACAATGAGTAAAAGAAGAAGCTTTGTTTATTTGGCAAAAAGAAGAAAGTGTACAACTGAAACATTCAGATGGATAGAAGGAAAATTATAACTATAGCTATACAATTTGATAAAATAAAAGCTAAAGTGAGAATAAGAAAAAGAGGGAGAAAGGTAATATATTTTTAACGTAGAAAATATTGCAGATAAACCGTTAAGAACTGCTGCTTTTTCTAAGCAAGGAAACTCAAATGAATTAATACAGGATGGAGTAAAAGTAGGTTTACGGTTGTATGTATGGAAAATAATATAATAATAAATAATAAAAGAAGATACTCTGTGTTTTATGTACTCACAACTGTAAACCTACTTTTGCCTTACCCTGTATGGGGAAAATTGAGACAGAGATATTTGCAACATATGTTTAAGACTGTTAAAGCTTAATTCATTCCTCTACATTTCCTCAGATCATAAAATGAACCAGGTTCATAAAAGTAGTTAGGCAGGCATAATATCTGTGTTTTTTATAAAAACACACACAGAGAGAGAGAGAGAGAGAGAGAGAATGAGAATTAAAATTGTGAGTTTGGCAGAAAATGTTATTCAGAGGGAAGAAATACTTTATACTTGCCTTCACATGAAATGTTTATAGAACCAGGAACATAGAGCAGAAAAAAAAAAATGTGCCTTAGGTTTACTCTTGATGATATTACTGAGGTAACTCATGACAAAGAAGTACAGAATTCTTATAATAACAATGTCTTATAAGAATCCATCTGAGGTATTTAGTATTATCTCATAAAGAATAAATATAAGCACGAAGGTTGTTTTTTTTTTTAAGATAGCCTGTGTAAATTTTCATTCTGTTTTACACATAAATTTTAAAACTGATTTTTGTTTAATACAGTGTTTAATTTTAAAAAATTATACACTACCATTTTCTTAAAAATCCAAATGACCACAACTGGCACAAGAAGAAATAGAAAACTTAGCCTTAAAACTAGTAAAGAAGTCGAATACATAGTTAAGGGACAAAAGAATTTGAATTCATAATTAAGAAACAACTTACAATGAAAATTCCAGAACCAGCTATCTTCACTGGAAAATTATTTAAAGAGTAAAGGATACAGATCTTACATAAACATTTTAATTTAAAAACAGTAAGAGGAACTACTTCTACTTCTGAACTCATTTTATCAAGTCAGCATCCCCTAATACTAAACTCCTGATACAAGGAGCCCTGTTCAAAAAAAATAAAATAAAAACCCTATAACTCTTACAAACAATTATATGTCAATAAATTGACAACATAGTAGAAATAGATAAACTCTTAGAAACATACAACCTACCCAGACTGAATCATGAAGAAATAGAATATATGTACCCCCATGTTCATAGCAGCACTATTTACAATAGCTAAGATCTGGAAACAGCCCAAGTGTCCATCAGTAGACGAATGGATAAAAAAGCTGTGGTACATATACACAATGGAGTACTATGCAGCGGTAAGAAAGAAAGATCTCTTATCCTTTGAGACGACATGGAGGGACCTGGAAAGTATTATCCTAAGTGAAATAAGCCAAGCAGAAAAAGACAAATACCACATGATCTCACTTAAATATGGAATATAATGAACATAACAGTCTGAGGAATATGGTAGACCCAGAAACATGGAAGTAGGGCACAGACTGACATCCCTCAGAAGAGGGGGTGGGGGGTGGGAAGAGATAAACCACAGAACTTATATGCATGTATGCATGACCAATGGACATGGACAACTAAGCCGGGGACAGGGCGGGGGTGGGGTGGGGAGGGGGGTGCCAATGGGGTAAAAAGGTGAAATATCTGTAACAAAAAAATAAATAAATAATTAAAAAAAAAAATAGAAACTCTGAACACTCTAATTACTAGTAAGGAAATTGAATCAGTAATAAAAAAAAAAAAAAACCTTCCAACAAACAAAAGTCCAGCACCAGATGGCTTCACTGGTAAATTACATCAAACTTTCAAAGAAAATTTAACACCAATCCTCAAACTTCCAAAAAGTAGAAGATAAAACACTTCCAAACTCATCTTAGGAGGCCAGCATTACATGGATACCAAAACCAGACAACACAATACAAAAATATAAAATTATAGGACCATATCCCTGATAAACATGAGTATAAAAACCTTCAAGAGCTTCCACAGTATGGCCAGCGACATTAGCTAGCGCTCGCTCTGCTCTCTCTAACGGGGAAACAGCGAGAGACTGAACTGTATCTGCCTCTATTTCTAACCGACTCACGTTCAACTTTCGCTCACACACAAAAAAAAAGCCAGGAAAATTTTATTAATCCCTTTTTTTTTAAAGTTACTATAAAACTATAGCAAAAAAAAAGGAACCTGAAACAGCTGGAACAATCCGCAGCAGTGGAAGAAGAGAATTTAATTTAGTTGATTTTCTGTAGTTGTTGGTTGTTCGCTAGTCTCATGGTGATGGAAGCTGCACATTTTTTCAAAGGGACCGAGAAACTGCTGGAGGTTTGGTTCTTCAGGTAGCAACCCAACACAAATCAAGGATGGGGGATCTTTGCTCCATCCCAAGATCTGAGTGGGACATACTTTTGAAGGATGTGCAATGTTCGATCATAAGTGTGACAAAAACTGACAAGCAGGGAGCTTATGTACTCAGTGAGAGTAGCATGTTTGTCTCCAAGAGATATTTCATTTTGAAGACATGTGGTACCACCCTCTTGCTGAAAGCACTGGTTCCCCTGTTGAACTTGCTAGCGATTACAGTGGGTTTGACTCAATTCAAAGCTTCCTTTATTCTCGTAAGAATTTCATGAAGCCTTCTCACCAAGGGTACCCACACTGGAATTTCCAGGAAGAAATAGAGCTTCTTAATGCAATTTTCCCAACTGGGGCAGCATATTGTATGGGACGTATGAATTCTGACTGTTGGTACTTGTCTACTTTGGATTTCCCAGAGAGCAGGGTAATCAGTCAGCCAGATTTAACCCTGGAGATTCTGATGAATGAGCTTGACCCAGCAGCTATGGACCAGTTCTACATGAAAGATGGTGTTACTGCAAAGGATGTCACTCGTGAGAGTGGAATTCGTGACCTGATAACAGGTTCTGTCATTGATGCCACAATGTTCAATCCTTGTGGGTATTCAATGAATGGCATGAAATTGGATGGAACTTATTGGACTATTTACATCACTCCAGAACCAGAATTTTCTTATGTTAGCTTTGAAACAACCTTGAGTCAGACCTCCTATGATGACCTGATCAGGAAAGTTGTGGAAGTCTTCAAGCCAGGAAAATTTGTGACCGCCTTGTTTGTAAACCAGAGTTCTAAATGTCGCACTGTGCTTTCTTCGCCCCAGAAGATTGAAGGTTTTAAACGTCTTGATTGCCAGAGTGCTATGTTCAATGATTACAACTTTGTTTTTACCAGTTTTGCTAAGAAGCAGCAACAACAGCAGAGTTGATTAAGAAAAATGAAGAAAAAAATGCAAAAATGAAACACAAATAAAAGAAGGTGGTGGCTGCTTTTTAGATATTGATACCATGGTAACCACCACCTTGTAGTTGCAGAAAGCCCTAGATGTAATGATAGTGTAATCATTTGGAATTGTACGCATTTTATATCAAGGAGTTAGATATTTTCCATGAATGCTCTCTTCTGTGTTTAGGTATCCTATGTCACTCTTTCTGTGAAATTGAAGTGCATGTAGAAAAAAAAACGTTTACTATATTAAACTTTACATCACTTGTGACAACAATTCAATTTGGTTTATGCACAGTATAATATTTCTCCAGGTACCGTCCAAAATTCCCCACAGACAAGGCTTTCATCCTCCTTAGGTGTTGGCCTCAGCGTAGCCACCCGGGACTGTTCTGTTAAATTGCTGCCAGGATGTTACATCCAGTTACCTCCGAT